CCCCCTCCTAGGTTCGATTCCCAGCCGTTTTGGGAGTGCGGTCGTTTATCTTCCTCCCGTGTGGCAAGGAACACGGCCTCGCAAAACGGCTGGAAATCAAGCCTACCCCCCTCCCCCCACCCCCATCCCCGACTCGAAAGCTGGGATCGATTAACAAAATAGCGGTTAGGGCTATGGTGTGTATCTTTTGCGATAAAAACTGCTAGATTACCCCAACTTGTAATATATAAGAGAATTGCAGATAATCTAAGATCAACAGAATCCCCAAAATGCACCGTATGCTCAATGAGAAGAAACGCATTCTCTAAGCCATTGGCTGACCTTTACAAGTCTAATTCAAACAAACCACGCACCTATTTACTGTTTTTTTAACTCTGTTTTTTTGTTTTGTTTTGTTTTGTTTTGTTTTTTTTTTACGCTTTAAAGCACAGTTGATCAAGTGAGGCAGGCAAACTGGGTCAGCCAAGCTCGCATTTTATAGAGATCGTTTGACTTGCGGTTTATTCCCCGAAAAGTTCAAGTTCTCAGTTTTCTAGGAAGAGCACGTTAAGTTACAGGAGGCTGGATAACGGACAACCCATAAATGACTGAAAATTCAACTGACAACTGACATTTGTAGTCAGAGGGTCGTACAGGAAGGGGGCGGGGTCTCTGCCGCGTTTCACGAATGCGAAAAAAAAATAATAGCGAGTCATGGATCACGGATATCGAAATTTCATTTTCTCGAATCACGAAAATAAGCAAGTAAGGTACTCTTTATAACCTGCTCTTACGATAGAAAGAGTGTTACGAGATCTTACGACATATTCGAGTACTAAGCGAAGGACATCAAGGAAAGCTCTCTGTAACTTGGTAGTTGCCGATGCCTTGGGGGACATTACGGTAATTATATTTCCATTGGATGTTTTCAGTCTTAATGAATTTTCCAGAGGACTCCCTTCTTAACTAAAATCAAGTAGAATCTCTCGGAGTGTGAAATCACGAATATCGGTAAATAATTCAAGTTCTTCAATATCACGCAAAACGTTGAGTCACGGATGACGAAGAATAATTTCTTAAATTCACGTTTCACGGAAAATAAAATCAGCTGATCACGCATCACGAAAATACCCCTGTGCGACCCTTTTGTCAGATTTATTGACAGCTGACTGCAGACGGCTTTACCCATTGTTATTCGTTTGAAATTCATGGAAAATAGGGAACTTTAAACATCGACGACGAACCGGACGACGAAGACGTTCCGTATTCGAAAAAGAATGGGTTTCGTTTCGGCGGGAAAACTAAAAGTTAAGCCGCCGTTCTTTGAATAGACGACAACACTTAAGTACTTACGGTAATTCACGATATATTTTCTCGTTTTTCTTCATTTATGCCGGGCATTTAGAGATGTCCTCGATTTGCTACTTATAACTTATACTTGCCGATGGTTTTATCAGAACCATGTTACCTTGTCAAGGTGATACGCGTCTGTTTTATTGATAATGAAGAATTTATTGCTCTTCACGACCTTTATTCTTCGATAGATCCGGATTTTCCATACGATTGTTACACAGCTTTTGACCTGAATGAGTTCGATGAATCGGAAAGTGTGGCAGAGTTCCTGGAGTTCCGTTTTCCGAAACGCGATGTACGAACTTTATCCAATGTTCTGCAGATTCCAGACAGAATAAGTAAATAGAAGGCAAAAGAAGTAAAATTTCGTCTAAGACGTGAATTTCGTCTATAACGTAAATTTCGTCTCAGTCGTAAATTTCGTCTAAAAGATAGATTTCGCTAGCCTGCATCGCAGACAGTCTAAACCGCCGGTATAGTCCGTCTGCGCAACGGCTCCCAAAAGCTTGTTCCGATATCCCGCAGTTTGTGTATCCATTTTTTATTGGCTAGTTTCCCACGCGCTTTCTCATTGGATAATTCTTGGGAAAGCGATCACGCAACTATCACGTAATGCTAAAAGTAATTTTGTGCGGGTTTCCCAAGTACATTTGTAC